ATCATTGCATTGCATTGAACCTACCTGATATTGTCAGTCTTTAAATGTTAACAGTGACCATGGCATCTTTCGACATAGACCAGACTTTATTGGTTTTAAGTGTTCTTCTTAGGCAGTTTTGAGCCTAACTTTAAAATGAAAACAAAGGGAATTTGAATTGAAGTGGGCAAATTAAGCCCTCGTATAAAAAAAGGCTGGATGTTGCAGCTGCCCCTAAGAAACATTTGCAGTGCAATAGACCAACATGTATGTCTTTCACCAACAAAGAGATGCATTATGTTGTTATGCTACTGGCTATCACTAAGATGCAAAAAGTCTATAGCTATCTATATATAGTTATCTCTACTAGTAGCTAGGTTGACTAATCCTTGACCAAAAACTTCCAGAATTCCAGTGGAGAGTATTGAGGTTATTAGTATTACTTGTGTCTTGAATGAGGTGACATTATGGATGCATAAACCATCAGTTTTCAATGACTTGCATGTGTAACTCTTTTATTGTCTAGTTCCTTGTACTACAAATGTAGGTGTAGTAATTACTAATAGTAGTCACATCCAACCCATATTAGGTTTGGTGGTTTTGTTACCTTAAGTTAATGAAAACGTCTGTTTGTAATGTGTATTTCCAGATATTTAGGTCAGCAATAACTTAGACGCTATGGATGCATTATAATGATATTGTAATGATATTTTGTATGTGAGTACTTAGCAGGTACAGGGAAGACAAAGCTCAAGGTTGGTTTTGGGCCTCCTGGTGTCTTATCTTGGTACTGCAGCAGAGCTTCTGGCTTTGTTTCTTTTGTCCTAATTTTGTCTTAATTTTTGCTAGAAAAAATATTGATGTCAGGAAAAGTATGTAGATTTGGGCCCCCTAGCTGCTTGTTTTGGAATTGCAGGGGGAATTTTTGTTCTTTAAAAGCAAAGGGGATAACTGAAAAGGAACAATGAATGGGTACAATGAAATGCAAGACTTCACAATTAATGAAGAAATTCTTGAAGTCCAGTCAACTTATATCCTTAGTCCAGTCAACTAATAGCCTTGGTCCAGTGTTTTCCACTTGTAATTCAGGGCATGATCACTATTTATAGTATATGTTTATGTTTATTTGCAAAATCATGCCCGAAGGCTAATTGCTTGTACAGTCAAGTATACAGAAACAGGAGACAGGTAACAATCTGTCTGGAAAAACCTCTACTTCTACTCCTACTCTAGCTATTAAGGGGTTCGACTTCTTCTTTGAAGGCAGTGGATAATGAATAGTCCCACATTCTGCATAATTAGTGGGTTTTGTGATCTTAGTAGAAATGTAGTCTTTTGATCTTCTAAATGACGAATTGATGGAGAGATTGTTGTAACTGTCTGAAATAATCTGTTTCTTTCGTTCTCATAGTGAGGACACTGGCTAACAAAATGTGTCTCATTTTCCACTGCATTCATTGTACAATATTTACATAATCTCTCGTGCACAGGTAGTTTTTTGTAGCGGCCCTTTTCTATCTCTAGTGGATGCGCACTTATTCTAATCTTACACATGGCAGCTCGTTCGTCGAATTCATTGTGGTATAGATATTTTATTTAGATATTTATAACTGTAAGTAGATTCATAAGCAGTAAACTATAGTTTTATTATTCAACAATAAGATGCTACATACTTGTAGTATGCCATCCTGATTCTCTAATGCATAAATTTCTCCCTCTAAACAGAAAAATTTAACATGGTTAACATGATTCTAATATGTCCTTCTGGGGGCAAACTCTAACACATTTCTGGCAGTGTTGGTAGTTAAAGTTTAGTCCTTATTTCCTAATGACTTGTACCAACACAGATGAACGTTCATGCTATAATCCTAATATATCCTCCTGGTGGCATACTCTAACACAATACTGGCTGCCCCCAGTAGTGCAGGTTCCTCCAGGTCTGACACCATGACCTGTATGCTGCTGGCAGCTGATGGGAGAGCCCTCCTCTGTATGACCTCGTGGACGCCGTCCACATAGTGGGGTGCCAGGTGCCCACACAGGATGACGTGGGAGGGGTTGACAGTGTGCAGCAAAGAGCAGATAGCCGAGCCCAGTGCCTCACATGCTGGAGATGGAAACAGAATGACAGATTAGAAAACATCCCATATCTTGCTGTCATGTCCGATTGGGTCTCATCCCTGAAAACTTGCTAGGAGGCTGATTTTAAAAATTGGGAACTAAAAAGAAGGGAAAAAAAGTTGGTCAAATAGCAGTTCGGGATTCTCTGACTCCATAGAAACCAGTTAACACAGCTTCCAACATAGCCTGGTTACCAAACTTGCGGAGAGGATGTAGGACTCGGGAGCTATAATAGGTTTGGTAACCAGGCTACTTCCAACAGGGTGTTAACAGACAGATCTCAGTCTGGCAATGTTTGGGCCACGTCCACTATCTAAGGCTCACCTCTTTCCACGACTTTCTCTGCCTTCTTATTGCCTAGCTGTGCAGCCTGGATGAGATGTTTGGCTGTCACCTCCTCACTATCAGTCAGGTGCATACCAGGAACAAGTAGCTCATCAGCTAGAGTGCAGAGGTACAAGGGTTTGTGTAAGATGAGCTGGGGTGTAGAGTTACAAGTGTTAAAATAAATAATTGTGTAAGACTAGTGCTATTTTCTAACTGAAGTCTTCACTGAGGTAATGACATCTATTTGACCCCTCCATATCTATTGAAAGTGACAGCTCTAATTTCATTGAAGAATATCATGAGGTTTGTACAAAAATATGAACTTTTGCAGAAAAAATGTTACATCACTAAAAGGCAGGTCACTGTAAGTAATAATCATTTAAGATGTGTCAAGGATTTAGACAACACTTCAAGCTTTTCACAAAGCTCTACTATTAATGTCACATGTACCATCATGGAGTTTTTTGGCCTCCCTTTGCAGAGCCAGCCCTGAGGCATAACTCTCCACACAGCCAGTGTTCCCACACATGCAGTCAGGGCCGTCCATGGACACAGTGATGTGCCCCAGCTCTGCTGCGCAGAAGTTAGCACCGTGGACCAGATCATTGTTCAGAACAATCCCTCCTCCAATTCCTAAAAAAAACACATGGTTCAAGGGCAATATTACAGTCAATGAAGACACCACCAGTAAACATTACATTGTATGAATTTCCTCTATGATAACTATAAGGGGGTCCAGAAATGTACATGGTGCTGGTATACTTTGATGATTCACATTGCAGATCATCATCAGCATGAATCATACACCAAGACTGGAGTGGCTGTCCTTGGTGCTGAATGACACACCAACTAGACTGGTGCTACTATCCTTACTAGCCTTGGTATCTTTAAAATGCTTTAGAGACATCTATCATGTGCTAACATAATTCTGCCGAGTACCCTAAAACCACCACAATGACAGTGTTATCTTTTCAAGAATGTCCAAAGTGTGCATAGCATAATAGACCTCACACAAGTGTTCATGTCATGACCACCACCTTGCATACTGGTTGCAGCCACAGCTTACCAGTGCCGAGAATCAAGGTGATGAAGTCCTCAGACCCCACCCCCTTTCCAAACTTCTTCTCTCCCAGTGCAGCGCAGTTTCCATCATTGTCCACCCAGACTGGAAGGTGCAACTTGCTGGAGATGGGGGTGCGCAGGTCGATGGAGCTCCATTCCTCCAGGATCTTGGTGGAGTGCAGGACCATCCCTTCATGAGGATTGACTCTTCCACCTGTACTGATGCCTGTTTATCACAACATGACAAGGTGACGTTATTCAGATGATTATTTGTAGTTCACATAAGGCTTTTTATCTATAGGATACAGGCAATTTTTACTTGTATGAGTACCAAGAACTATGCATGGTTCACATAGTGACAATGCACTACCTTCAGTATTGTTAGCACAGATTTGTTAGCCTGGGTACCATCCGGATTTTCGCTACGCAACGCTCGAAAAAATACGATTTTTTCGAGCGTTGCGTAGCGAAAATCCGGATGGTACCCAGGCTAGATTTTTTCGAGCGTTGCGTAGCGAAAATCCGGATGGTACCCAGGCTACAGATTTGTGTGTTTGGGTGGTTGTGTTCTGCTGTTGGAAGGATGATGTCGTGTTCAATTGAGTTAAGACATACATGCTTATGACTTAAAATCCATACTGTGATGTAATTCATCCAGGAGTAATGAACCATTTTAATCATCATATAGTCAGTTGCATCAAGGGCGATAGGTACAGAGTAGGTATTGCATCATACAATCCCACTCCACAGTCTCAGTGACCATGGTGGGTGTAGGGTGTAGGATACTACTTCATAATATCCTCTCCACAGTTCCAATACATTTACAAGAACCTAAAACACTTCCCAGAGGTCAGAAATTTGAGAAAGGGTGCCAACCTATGCCAAGTATCCGACAGCTGAGTTGTACAGCCTTTGATGTAGCCTCCACCAGCATTCTCATCAGCAGATCCATCCGCTCCTCATAGGTACCCGGGGTCAGTTCTGTCATCTTGTACAGGATCTCTCCCTGCAAAACATGGACAGTAAGACTTAGAAAACCTACTACAAGTGGGGTGTGGGGAAGAGGAGGGAGGTCTACGAGTGGGGTGTGGGGAAGAGTAGGGAGGGCTACGAGTGGGGTGTGGGGAAGAGGAGAGAGGGCTATGAGTGGGGTGTGGGGAAGAGGAGGGAAGGCTACGAGTGGGGTGTGGGGAAGAGGAGGGAGGGCTACGAGTGGGGTGTGGGGAAGAGGAGGGAGGGCTACGAGTGGGGTGTGACGTCTGGTACGAGAAACAGCCATGCCTTCAAATATCAGAGTTCTCAACCAAGAATTTAGGTGCTCAAAAACTCGTATTTTCCTAGAACTTGTGGAGTGGAACTCGTTGCCACCAAGCACAGTTGGGGAATCATCACTAGAAAACTTTAAACAACTCCAGATTGGACGTAACATGTCGTTCGGTGTAATACAGCTAGCTGCCGTCGCTCCGCGTGCCTGCGAAG